GGGAAGAGCACAGATAGCCCATTGTGTAGCTTTGTGCTTAATTACAAACAAACAAACCATAAGACTAAGGCTCATTAACATGTTTTTGTCGTGCTTGACATCAAATATTAGTATATCACCAGAAATATCATACCTCGGAAAACCCTTGGTTTTTAGTGTTACGGTGATTAAAATACCGTGATATCTCATAGTTGATAGGGAAGTTAGCAGTTTTGTGAAGACAATTTGAAGCCGTATTACTCAAGCTGTCAACGGATTTTATTCGTTCTATTATAATACCAACCAGGAGAGTTGTGGTGCATGTTTATGTTAATGTAGAATATAGTATGTAACATATTGTTATACAAACCATAGATCTTAATTAGCTAATAATTCAAATTCATAAAGAATAAACCATAACTTCCATACGTCTAGCAGCCATGCAAGGGACAAATGAATGAGTCGCGTGATACGTGCATCTCATGGATTTTAATTTTTTACCAGCAAGTACCAGTACTTTATTTTCGTAACTCATTCCATGACTCCTTATAGTTCTGTTGTTCGTCCATAAAGTCCAAGTAATCATAACAATATGATATAGTACCATGGTAGGGAGGGTTGCCATGTAAGGTTAGAAGTTAGAAAGTAATAGTACAAAAGGCGAGTGGAGTTTGGATTGGGGGGGGGGCAAATTATGTTTTGCCCCCTGGCGCCAGACACCATTACTACGCCACTGAGAGCAAAACAGTAAAAAAAACTTAGTTCCAAGTTATTTTAAACTGCAGAAATGCTTCAACACGTTATTTTGTTTAAAATATAATCAATTTCTTATTGTGAGCTTTTTATGTTAAAGAACAACAAATATTTTCCGATGTAGTTATGGATACGTGACGCTTTATACGGCTTTGATCATTTATACAAATTGAAACAAAAGTAAGACGTAATATATTTGAGTTGAAGCTATAAATTTACTTTGCAGTAGTTATTTGAACAAATTTACTCTGTTTGTGTACAAGCTATTTTGACTTGATTTTTGATTTCTTGAAGTAATTTTGGGTTACTTAATTTTTTTTCCTACATTTTTTATGGTATACTTTTAAATATATATGTGTGTGTTTTCTTTCTTCGATATATATGCTGTCTGTAAAATTATTTTTATGTTAGAAATTGACTGTTAACTATTCCTTGAAGTTTTGTTTCACCTTAATTATATAATTTATTGCGACACCTACCTGTTTTAAAGTGTACCAAAGAAATAAAAAAATTAGTATTTTAGTGTTAACAAAGGTACTCTCAGAAACTCTAAAATAAATTACCTTTACATTATTTAAATGAAATACAAGTACATCCGGAAAATATACAGATTAAAATTGAATTATTGTTGATTGTTGTTTGTGAGGGTGTATATATGGCTGATTCTCGAAGCCGTAAAATTATAAACAGTACTGAAAGTATAAAGCGTCATCTTTCGGTGTTTAAATGAAGCAATAAATGGTTCTGTATATTGTTTTCGATCTGCGATGATAACATAGAAGAACATATATAAAGAATAGGAACAAATCTAAAGAAAGTGTGTAAAATGTATTGCTTATTGTTAATTGTATTCATCACACATTATATTTTGATCATAAAATAGTTTACAGGCTGGTTTATTCTAAAAAAATAACTATCGTATATTCCTCTCATGTTTGTAGCGGACTATTTTTTTTTACACATAGTTTCAGTTTTAATTCTGACTTTGTAAAAACTTAAATTAGTGTGTTTCGTACTTAAGATAAACGACAATACTTCTTCACGGCTTAAATTTCTCTAATAACACAAATATAATGTCTGTACTGAAAATAAAATATTTTAAAATAGTAACCATTTAACAATGCCACTTACGTTTCGTATTTTAGAAACTTTTCTATAGTTTATCAGGGTTGTTTCTTACACGAGAATAACTTGTATTTAATTTTCCCTATCAGATATTTTATTTGATTTTTTTTTTTTCTGTTAATGGCACAGCGGTAAGTCTGCGGACTTATATCGCTAGAAACCGGGTTTTGATACCCGTGGTGAGAAGAGCACAAATAGCACATTATGTAGCTTTGTGCTTAACTACAAAAAAATTGAAATAATATGTCTTATTTTGAATGAGTAGTTTCAATGAACAAATAATAAGAAATGGGTTTAATCTCTATCAAAAGAGTCAGTTTAACTCATTTTCGCGAAAAGATGGGGGGATAATTCATGCTTATTGAAATATAATTAGCTATAAGCAATATTGCCATGCAACTAAGGAATTTCATGAACCATAAAACAAAGGAAATGTTGTCTTATTTTCTCAACAGTCACTTTCTTGAACTTTGTTTTATGTCCAGATTTTAAGTGCTATTCACAGAGTGATGTAGCATTTACTGACCCATCTTTGTAGGTGTGGTCAATTCCTAAATCAGACATTTGTTTGTAAGATGAAAATTAAATTTAATTTCCCGTTTTAAATGTTTCTATGTAATGTTACTTTTATATATTGTCTTAAGCGCATTGTACGTTTTGTGCATATTTTTGTTTGTGTTTTATTACAACTTAATAGAATTTCTGCCTATTTTTAAACTCGTTTTACTAATAGTTCATATAATCAAATCCTTTAAGCGACTTCACAAATTGCAAAAAAGTTAACTATTAAATCAAACTTAAAACAATCATAAAACATTTTCGTAAAAAGGTTAATACAATTTAAAAAATTATTAGAAAAACACTTGTATTAAAAACTATAGTTATTACTAACTTATTTTTCCCTCAGCTTATTATATAGCTCTTCTTTTTCAAATAAAATAGTGAACGTTTGGCAAAGGTTTCACTAGTTCTAACAATTTAGGCAATGTTTATCTCATTATTGTCATAGTGAAACACTATTACAGGTAGACACTGTGAGGATGATAATATTTCAACTACACATGAGTTCATACTCAACCTAGTAAATTCAGGTATAGTATTCTGAATGAGTGAAGGTTTATAAAGACATGATTATGATAACTTTATTTATCTATATACCTTTATTTATCTAGACCAGTTCAATATGAATTAAAAGGTTATCTGTTTATTCGTTATACACAGGAGTACGATAAAAAAAAGTAAGTAATCAACCGCTCATGTTGTGATTCTGAATTTAAAGTTTCACATGAAGTTTTGTAATTATCAAAAGCGCTTTAGTAACCTTTAATTTTGTGTATCGTTTGAAAAGTTTCGTTTTGTACAAAACTTACTTTAGAGTTTTCGCAAATAATGTATTTACTTGAACGTGTAGTATAACATTATATTTTTGACACAAGACATGTATTAATGTCGGTTTATAAAGAGAATAGTTTTGTAAATACACCTTTGAAATTTTGGCATTTAGAGCTGAGAAGTATTTTTGTTTTAATTGTTTTGAGCACAAATATAGTAAAATCCTAGTTTTAAGTAAAAGTATAGTTTTATTCTTCTGAATGGAAATACAATAAAGTAAATGTTTAATGTAAACATGCATTCCATCATATTTTTGTTGTATTTAACGTGATGTTTAACTAATAAACAGATACAAGTTTAATAGTTAAAAAAAACACGATAACACACTTAAATTGGTTTGTTTTTAATTTGGTTGAAATAAATGTAAATGCTGTTTTTGGTTATTGTAGCACGGTAGTTTTCATTCGAATCTCATAATCACTCTAGTCAAAAAATATTTAACACTTTTACACATTAGCTTTTGCTTGAAACTGCATAATAAGAACTGTAAATGTTTCTGAGAAATTCGGCGAATCTAAATGGGGAGGTGGGAGTTAAACATGGCTGAGATTCAGTTTATTGAACAGGGTATCTTTTTTTTTCATACTAAGTTGGGAAATTACAGATATAAATGGCGAATTTCCTGAACGCCACCTGGCCGTAGCTATTTCTGCGAGAAATATACATTTCCACAAATTTATTCAAAATCATTCCCACTTAAGAATTACAAACAAACAAACAAGAGCAATCAGAGAGATTGCATACCCTCGCCCCGTCGCTCCTTTTCGAGATTGCATGCGTTTATATTGGATAACGTCAAATTTCGCCTTCGAAAACACAGAAAATCCTTCTCAGATCGAGAATAATCAACGATCCGGATCATTTTTCGTAGCGTGATGAGGAGTTTCAACCTTAATGTGTCCACGAAACTTGGTACAAATCCGATCACACTTTACAAAGT